TTTTCTAGACTGCTAGTTCATGGACTGTGAAAGAAGTTACCATGGTTCTTATTTGGCAGTCTGGGCTCAGGTCCCTTGCCTTCCTTATATGAAATATTTCAAGAATTTATAATTCTCACCAAGATTTTTCATTTGTTTTCTAAACCAAGCAGCTGAGTACTTTGTTACCAGAAACACTTCAGGGTATATGTGGGTTCAGGTCACTACATGCAGTGCTGCTTTAGGGGCCATTATTGTCTCCTGGGCTCCTTTTGTCAGGTCACTGGTGTGGTACCTATGCCCTCTAGGGAGTGATTCATCTCATCTCCTTATATTAGCCACTTTGTTTACACCTTGTGTACAGAAAACAGTTTGTGCTCTTCTAATAGCTTGTAGGTTACCAGTTTACTTAGTCCTCTTTCTTAGGAGTATTCTCCCTGAAATGAAGTCATAACATTCGTTCAACTATTGTGATAATTACACTTACTGGGAGCAGTTCTCCTGGGTTCAGAGATGAGTTTTCTTCCTGCCCTACCTGGAAATGGCTGTACCTGGCCCTTAACACTGTCATTAATGGAAACTGTAGCCATTATATATGACTGTTGCCTCTTGTTTGCTTTATACAAGTGTAGCTTGCATTCCTTAAATCCATCCATCAGGACTTGGATTGGGTGACTCTCAGTGGGGAATCATAAGGAAGGCAGCTGGTGACAACTGGAGTCCCCCAGGGCTCAGTTCTGGTACCGATTCTGTTCAACCTTTTTATCAATGACGTGAAGGAGGGGGTAACCAGTGTGTTGACTAAATTCACAGATGATACCAAAGTGAGGGCATTGGGCACAACTGAGGAGCAGGTGTTCCAGATCCAGAAGGATCTGGACAGGCTGTGAAAGTGTGCAGGGACAACTGAATGGCATTCAGTGTGGATAAGTGCAAGGCCTTGCACTTGGGACAAAGGAATAGATGTCTCAGGTACAGTATGGGGGGCCAGTGGCTGGAGAGTAGCACTTGTGAAAGGAATCTCGAGGTACTTGTCAACACCAGACCAAACTTAAGCCAGCAGGGTGATGTGGCAGTTAAGAAGGCAAACACCATCTTTGGATGTATAGCCAGAAGCATGGCTTCCAGATTTAGGGAAGTGTTGATACCACTCTACACGACTCTGGTGCACCCATAACTGGGGTATTACGTCCAGTTCTGGGCTGCACATTAGAGGAGAGACATAGCTAGGTTAGAATCGGTTCATTGCAGACTCTCAGGAATGGTAGCTGGGTTGGGAGGGATGACATATGAAGGCATTGGGTCTTTTCAGCCTGGAAAAGAGGAGACTGAGGGGATCTTTTAGCAACTTTAAGGTATGTGAGGGGATGTCTTGTGAAAGAGGGCCATGACCTGTTCTTCCCTGCAGTGGAGGGCAGGATGCATTCCAATGGGGCAAAGCTCAAGGAGCCAGGCATCAGGTTGGATGTCAGGAAGTATTTCCTGATGGTTAGGACCCTAGGGTATGGAATGGGCTTCCAAGGGAGGTGGTTGAGGCCCTTTCAGTGAGTGTGTTCAAGGAAAGAATGGACACCCACTTGTTGGGGATTACATGAGCAGAGTCAGCTGGAGCCGGGGATCAGACTAGATGGCCTTTCTGACTCGCTATGTTTCTATTTTAGGGATGGGTGAGAATCTTACTTCACTTAAGTTCTGATAAGAATTTAATAACATTAAATTTGCCATAGTTTGGACTAAAAAGCCCTCAAGATATTTTTTAAATGAAAGAAACCAAATCAGAGTGAGTTGTCCATCTAGGTCCATGACTGAATGTTTTGTTCTAAAATGTTGGGGTTTGAATCTCTGTGGATTCAGCCAACACTGTGGTACTTAATCAGGGTTATTACCTCTTTTTTTCCTGACAGGCTCCTCATTGTCCCTATTAAATTTGGCTGCTGCACATATGTGAAAATTCAATAGGTGAGAAAAATAACTTGAAAATTAAAAAGATGAATGTGAGAAAACCAAAACTGAACAATTTTTCTTAACCTTAGCTGCTACTGTAGATAACCATCCCCCCATTATGAGGCTGATTCAGATGTCTCAGGAGAGTTTCACATACCACCGTATTAAGTTCCATTTGTGATTTTGCCTATTGTATGCTGTCTCCTTTGTGGGAATGTTTGCCTTGGATTGAGTGAAAGACTTCCTGTATTCAGACTTTTCTAATAATATGGGTATCAAAGGCTACATATTTAATACATCTCAGCATTCTGTTGTAGGAATGGCTTTTATTACCCCAATAACTAAGTGAAACAGTGAGATCCTCAGATAATGAAATCAAATGAGACCATAGATAATTTTTAATCTGTCTTTAGCTTTTGAAAAACAGGGTAATTTAAAAACCAAATTGGCAAACTCCTTTCCTGAAGTATATACATAGTATTCCTAAATAATTCCCTACACAATTTGAACAGCTTGCATATTTCTTCAAGGAAGATGATGACATTCCTTATTCTATTGTTGAATTGCTGATGTAGTTAAGAAGGTAATGTCACTTTGGCATCAATTATTTTGAAGTAATCTTATTGAAGCATTTTAAAATGGGATTTGGTGATGGTTTTAAATTGCAGAGGCAGGCCCAGCATACTCAACGTCTACTTTCCCTGGACAGAGACTTTAGATTCATTGGAGGGGCAGAGGTGGGCAAATGACTGCAGTTTCAAGGTTACAGAATGAAGATACTCAGAATGTGAGAACCAGCCTGCCTTGGAAAAAGAGGAAGACATTTCAGAACAGGGTGGGGTGGAGATTGAGGTGGGGAGTTGCTTGACCTTGTAAGGAGGTGACAGGTGAAACTAGCAGTCCATTTAAAAACATGATGTTCCCACCATCAAGTCTTCAATCAACAGGAGCCCTCCTGAGAGTAGAGTCAGGACCTTTCCCAAAGGGAGGGAAGAAGTGGATTATTCAGTTTGGATTCAACTCTGCACATGAGCAGATGCTACTATCATATCTCAAAGATATTATTACTTTGTTTTGTGTTGTTTGTAACCTGTAGAGCTTAAATAAAGGACTGTGCTTCTCGGGTTTTGTCTAAGTCTGTTGGAGAGGGAAAAGGTGGGGACAAGTCAGCTCACAACATAAACTTACTGTGTGAGTTATTCTTCTTGTACCTTGTAGTCTGGACTTTCCCCCATGTGTTTACTTATTTAGTTTGCATTTTATTGTGCCATTTTCTGTTTTCCCTCTCCACTTTGGATTTTGAATAGTCTTTCACTTATACCTGCAAATGCATTCATCTCTCTTAACTGTGAAATTACACATTTGAGACACTTACAGATACGTATTTTTCACATTGGTAAAATTTTCTTAATGGTCCATCCTCATCTAATTTCAAATCCTACTAATATGCTTATTGTTTGTGCAGAGTGCTGATTTATCATCTATTAAAATAGTTTACTGTGTGCCAAATTGCATAATGTACCTGTTTTTCTCTTAATTTATAACTAGTCAGTATATTCAGGATGCTTATTTACTACAGTGAAAATGAATAAATTGGTTGCATTTCTAGTTTTGAGGGATACATCATAAAGATCATAACCAAGGATGATCAGAAAGCTCATTAAACAATATTTATTTAATGTTCTTATGTAGCTGTAAGTATTGAACATCAGTGGCATGTCAGTTCAGTGAACCATGCCAGTGTCATGCTGTAGATCAGCCTTCCCCAACCTGGTGGCTTTCAAAGGCATATGGATGACAACTCCCAGAATTCCCATCCAGCAGGATCATTGACTAGAAATTGTTGGTGTTGTAGTCCAAATGTGTCTGAAAGGCACAAGTTTGGGAAAGGTTGCTATAGATGGCAGAAGAGAAAAAAGATATTGTAACACTTTGAAGGCCAACTGGATTATTACATTCTTGAAAAAAGTAAGATACTGAAAATTGTTTAAATCCCTATGATGTGGGGATTAACAGATGGACAGTAAAGTGAATCTTGAAAGACCTTACAGTTGCAAAGAAACTTAGATTTCTGTCTTGGAAGGAAAAAAAACATCCACACCTTACTCTTCTTGCTCCATTTGAGCTTATTTCCTACAGCCTTAAAGGCATATGGACACACACACAGACTACTTATATTAATGCATTTATTTGGAATGAAATCATTCCCAAGCTTTGTGTTCTTTCATCTCTTTTTCTGCATATCGAGGGAGATGTTAATAGTTATATTACTGTGATTGCTGTATATTGGTGTTTCATGATATGAATCCCTTTATCTTTTTTCTTTTCTTTTCCCCGTCTTGTTAAATTTTTTGCTGCTGTTCCTATTGTGTTGTAAATAGGAAGATTTAAAAATGGATTCTTGTAGTGTTAAGCTTTCATCGTGAATAATAATTATTATAAGTTTTATTTGTATACTGCCCAATAATGGAAGTTTTCTGGGCACTTTGTAACTATACATAAAATACAATAAAACTACAATATAAAATACAGATAACAATACAAACATCATAAAATTACAGCGCAAAATGTAAAAACCAAATTTAAAACATTCTACTGCCTTCAGATTTACAATCTAAAATAGATGATGCAAAGGCAGAAAGGGATGATGAGGGAAGAGAAAAGCAATCAAACCCAAGTACCTTTCCTTAAAGTTACAGAGATTCTAATCATGAATGGATTGATGGAACCAATTCGAGGAGAAGAAGAACTATATATGGAGCTGGGTTTTCAGCAGAATAAATTGAGTAGCCATCTCCTCCTGCTGCAATCTGATGGAGCAGGGAGACAGTTGAGGGAGGGAAGCCTGTTGGAAATGTTGTTACATGTATTAGGCTGCAAAACTAGACCCACTAACCTGGAAGTAAGTCCTGTTGAACACAATCTAGTTTTTGAGTAGACATGTATACTATTGTGCTGTTAGTGCGCTTACATGTTCTCATGATTTCACATGTCTGCATTCATAGTTTAGAATCTACACCAGCAATGCATTGGAGGAAAACATTACTATTTGTTTTCTATTTTGTTGTCTAATACAGCATTTGAAAATGGAGTGGGGAGGTGAATATTCTCTTGATTCTTCCAATTTGGATTGCTTGTTAAATATACTTCCTGGAGATCTGGAGTTTCAGCAGATAATTGGAGACATTGATGAGAAGATAAAGAAAAACACTTCTGGGTAAGCTATTTTATTGTATTCCTTCTCCCTTGCAATAATTTACCTACCACCCAATAATATTTTATTATTTACAAAAAGCCAAATAATGAAACCTTGTATAGCTATATTATGTTATTGTGAAAATGGCAGCATGGTAATGTACTGTGTTGGATTGCTCCCACTGTAAGTGAAGCAGCTAAGCAACCATTCTGGTATGTGCAAACATGTAAAGGAGGGGGGCCTTCTCTGTGGTAGCCTCAAAATTGCACAAGGTCCCCTGCACTGAGGCTTGCCTGGCACCAACTTTACTTCCTTTTCTGGCACGAGGTTAAGACTGCCCTCTATGCCAAAGCATTTAACACAGGGGCAGGGGGCATTACCATAAGCTGTTTTTAGCAGGGTTAGCAGTATAGACTTTTCTTAGTTTTGTAAGTTGTTTAAATTTGGTTTTAAATCTTTTGTGAAATTTTACAATGGTTTTGCTGTAAGTTTTATTTTATTAACTTATAAATACCCAGAGGAGTTTGGCTATTGGACAGTTTAGAAGTAACAACAAGCACAATAAAAAGAACAGAAACACTCTAAACAAACCATACTTAACCATTATATTCAATACAGGAACTTTGTTTTGTTTCTTCCCTGGCAAGCCAGAGAAATAACTCAATAAGAAACAGTTTGCACATAATATTAAACAACCCGCGGATGGAAGTTTCATAGGTTGTTCATCTCCTCTTACATAAAACGGGAGCAATCCAATAGTGTATGCCACCATGCTGGCATGTTGGTGATTGTAATGTGTGAAGTAGCCCTTATGTTTTATTTCTCTTTGTTATTTGTCGTGCTAAAAACCACTATTTATAAAAACATTTGTGTCATAACTCTACAGATTATCTACTGTCTTACGTGCATTTTAAAATAAAACTTTCCCTGGTTCTTTTTTCCTCCCCTTTCATTTCTGCTATGTACATGTTCTCATCAAAAATTGGTACAGGATTTCACTAGCCTCTATTGTTCTGATTGCGCCTGGGGTGCCTCTCACATAACAGGCAGACCTTCCTCTTCTCCATCAGTGCAGTGCAGTGCAGTGCAGTACATGTACATATCATATATGCACAAACACAGTATAGTATATATACCTTTATAAAGCTTTGTTGTGTGATGATGTGGACAGAAGAGAATGGCTAGCATAGAATCATAGAATAGTAGAGTTGGAAGGGACAAGAGGGTCAATGGGTCCAATTCCCTGCTTAGCGCACAAGTCAAACCATCCCTCTCAGTTGACTGTCCGGTTGCATCTTGAATGACTGTAGTGTGGGAGAGCCCACAACCTCCCAAGGTGATTGGCTCCATTTTTGTATTTCTCTAACAGACATGTTCCTGCTATCTAGTTGGAATCTGGCTTCCTGTAACTTTATCCCATTTTTCCATGTCCTGCTCTTTGAGATGATCAAGAAGAGAGCCTGTCCTTCCTTAAGTACTTGTAGAGTGCTATCATACCCCTGAAGTTCCTTATTTATTATTTATTTATTTATTTAGAGTATTTGTATGCCATCCCATTACATAGCCTTGGGATGGCTTACATTAATAAAATAAAACATAATACAGATAAAATCCAGATCCACCCTGGCTGCATATTAAAACCTATAAACTGATATTAAAAGTTATTAAAATATTATTGAAATAAAAAGGTCTTGGCCTGGCGCTGAAAAACAAATAATGAAGGCACCAGGCAGACCTCTCTGGGGAGCACATTCCATAGGTAGGGCGCCACCCCAGAGAAAACCCTCCTCTAGGTACTCAGTCTCCTAATGTCCTTCACAGAGGGTTCCTGGAGGAGGGCCTCTGCCGCCAATCTCAAGGGGCGGGAGGACAAATATGGAAGCAGTCGTTCCTTTAGGTATCCAGGTCCCAAGCTGTTAAGGGCTTTGTAGGTGATAACCAGTACCTTGAATTGAGCCTGGACTTTGATGGGGAGCCAGTGAAGCTGGTAGAGGACTGGGGTTATGTGAGAGTAACACCCAGTCCCCGTCAGCAACCTAGCTGCTCTATTTTGCACCATCTTAAGTATCCGGACTGTCTTCAAGGGCAACCCCACGTAGAGCGCGTTACAAAAATCCAACCGGGAATTTCTGAATCATTAATAAAAATGTTGAACAGCACTGGACCCGGAACTGAACTCTGCGGTAGAACCTCTTGTTACCTCTCCCCAGTTTGAGAAGGTGCCATTGATGAGCACTCTTTGAGTCAAATTTGTAGCCAACTGTGAATCCTCCTGATAATTGTTCTATCTAGCCCACTTTAGGTAGCTTACTGATCTAGATATTGTCGGACACTTTGTCAAAAAGTTTGCTGAAGTCAAGATAGACTGTGTCCATAGCATTTCCATACTTCATCAGGGAGGTTACCCAATCAAACAATGAAATCAGATGTGTCTGACAGAATCTGTACTTGACAAATTCATGTTAGCTTCTAGTAATCCCTGCATTGCTTTCAAGTTGTTTGATACTGACTGCTTTATAATCTGCTCCAGAATTTTCCCAGGGATTGATGTCAGACTGACTAGTCTGTAATTCCCAGGTTCTGCTTTTTTCCTTTCTTGAAGACAGGGGCCACATTTGTCCTTCTCCAGTCATGGGCTTTCTCTGTTTCCTCTGTTGCCTTCCACCCTTTCACCTTGTTGGAATTGTTCGTAATTGTGACTTTAGAATTTCCTCTTTTTTTTAAATTTCCACTCATGTTGGATTCCTTTTCTTATTAGGGTCACTTGCCATGGGACTTACCATTGTTCTGAATTTATTAAAATTGGTTTTCCTAAAATTGAGGGTATGTGTTGGCTACATTTGGCTTTTGCTTCCTTCCTTTAGAATCAAGAATTCAAGTAAGGTATGGTCACTTTCTCTGAGAGTTCCCATAGCTACCACTTTGCCCTCTAGGTCTCCCCTGTTGGTTAGTATCAGGTCAAGAATAGTCATTCCTCTTATTCCTTCCTGCACTTTCCGTTGGAGGAAGGAATCAGCAAGGAATCTCCTTTAGAAATCTCTTGGAGGGACTGTGTTTGGCAGAAATTGCCTCCCTACAAGTATTGGGGAAATAAAAGTCCCCATAAGAATGACATCATTCCTCTTTGAAACATTGACAGTTTGCTTTTCAAAAGTTTAAACCTTGCCTTCTCCTTGACTGGATCGTCAAGGAGACTCCAATGACTGTGTTCCTTTTATTCCTTGCTTCATTTATATTAATCCAGATGCTCTCAGTGGAGCTACTAAGTTCATCCTCCTGCAGCTAAGTACAGAGGTATGTATGTTTAACATGTAGTGTGGCTCTGCCTCCCTTTTGTTCCCCCTGTTCTTCTTGAACAGGTTATATTCTACAATTGTTGAATTCTAGTCATGGGAGTCATCCTACCAAGTTTTAGTTATACTTATCAAGTCATATTCACCCTCCTGTATTAAAACTTCAATTTCGTGCTGTTGGTTTCCCATATCAGGACATTAGTATATAGACAACAAAGACCATGTACTCTAGCTTTCTTCCTTCATTTTTGGAAGAGTATTATTGGTAAGCGTTAGAGCTGCTCTCTGTTGTGGTGCATAAGCCTTTGTCTGTTACACCCAGGTGTACTTCTCCCTCCTCTGTAGGATTAGTTTAAATCCTTCCTAATAACTACTTTGTGCTGTAGCCAAGCACATTCTTTCCAGTTCTTTCTTACCTTGTAAGGTACAAGCTCCACTGTACCGGCAGTTGATCTTCCAGGAAAAGTAGCCCGTGGTCATTGGACCCAGACATTCACTTGGAGTATTTTTCTTTGCCTGTCTGTTCATCTTCTAAGAACTGGAAGGATTAAATAGAAAATTATCTGGGCTCCAAAGTTCTTGACTTTCCTTCCTAAAGCTTTGAAGTCTGCCATGATTTCTTCAAAGTTCTGCTTGGCAATGCCATTCATTCCCACATTATAAGGAAGGGATACACGTGGGCTTATAAGCCTTGGAAATTTTTCAGTTGCATCACTAATCTGTCCTCCAGGAAGTCAGCATACCAGTCAAGTCCATGAGTTTTCATAAGGTACATGTGTTTCCATCCCATACAACAGGCACGAGCCTTGTTCTTGCAAGCCTTGGCATGTAAGAACAAGTCATGTAAACCATGCAGTTCTTCCACTGCAGGCTGCCCTCCAGTCTCATCTTAAAGCAACTGAAAGTGATTTCATAGTTCTACTGTTTCCACCAGTGCAGAATATCTCCTTCTAATTCTTCTCCTAACTGTCCCCCTTTTCCAGGAAATTTTCTTCTCATTTTCCCTTACCTTAGGATTCTCCTGCCTCAGCTCACTGTTGCACTTCTAGCTCCTTTTCTACACCTACATGTTGCAGTTCCACTACTTTGTCTTAAAACTTTTCATCTTCATTTATGTCCTTGGGGGTGGAAACTCACTGCTCTCACCTTTTCTTCCACCAAGCTAACGAGATTGCACTTGTTGCACATGTAGGCCATGTTCTTCATCGTGGCTTCTGTGCATCACACATATGGGTTCTGCGCCTGCGCAGTGCCTTTGGCCGGAAGATTAACAGCTAACGGTTTTTGGCGGGAACTCCGCTCCCCCTCCTCCCTAGCATTATATAAGGAGCGGAGTGTCCGCCATTTTCCAGTCTTTGAAAAACCGGCGTTTGTTGTGCCTCATGCTGCTCCGCTCTCGCTAAGATTATTACTTACCTTCTTGCTCGTTGGAAAATCTCTCCTTTTTCCTACCAAGTTTGTATCCCTTGTTCCTGTTGTTAGTACTTCACTTATTTTTCTTCTTAACTTTTGCACCATTTTTTCCTCTTTATCGTTCCTATAAAAAAAACAAAACAAAACCAAAAATATTACTTTCCCGCTTTACTATCTCCTTTTTTTCTTCTTTCTACGATGGCGCAACAGACAGCGTTCCACAAGTGTGGAAAATGTGGCTCCAAGATGCCCGCCGCGGACCCGCATGATCTGTGCCTCCTTTGTTTGGGGGAAGGGCAAAGAACCGATAAGTGC